GATAATTGTGTGTATAAAATATATTTAATTACAAAAATTCCATGATTGATGCTTAACAATAATTGAAAATGATTGTTTGAGAATAATAATGCAAGTGTAAGCGTCTTGGCCCAGTTTGGGGTAGATCGATTCTTTTCCTCGTCGGTTGAACGCCGGAAACCTGCAAATAACTCTCACGCCGGGGGTTGTGTCCGGTGAAGAGCCTCCAATGCTTAAGTCAGTATGTGTATGAGTATACTGGATAGAGTAATGGAAAAATCGTGTGTTAGGATGAAAGGCTCCCCCCTTTATATCGGAGTGAAATACCTGACCTAAGGCTGCCCGAATTTGATGAGCTGCTGCCCAAGCTGCCCGTCCGTACTCTGACACGCCGCGCACATGTCAGAGGTGGTGCGGGACGTTGGGGGCTGTCAGAGGTGGTTGTCGCTATCAACCGATAAATTTCTCGACACGTGTCCTCCTGCACATGGGATGAATATTCTTCTGGAATTCCGTTAGAGGCTCTTTCACGTGCCTGTGATTAAGCCGATCTATGTTGTGCTAAGTTCGTGAAGTGGTCGACCAATTGAGGTTGACTAAACTGCTCGACCGTTCACTTGGTCGAAGGATAGATTGGTCGACTGATTAACTGGTCGATTTTCCCGCCATTCAACTTGGTTTCTCCATGGTATGACATCTTTGACCGGTTTAGCAAACTGGTTTAGCCTTGTGGGTATAATATCCTATATCATCTAGTCGACCCCCACTCTAGTCGAGTCTGGGTGACTCGATCTAGGAGTGAATTTGTGCTCGTCGCTTTCCTTGATGGCCTGATGTCAAATATCGACCACCTGGTGAGTTTCCCGCTCATTTTTCCAGTTAAATCTTTTTTGATTGTCAGCAATAAAGTTGTCTGTCACATGTCCTTTCTGCCGTGCCTACTTTTCTGCCACGCGTCGCATCTGCTGCATTTGTCAGGTACTTTAATAATTGCGCCTCCTCGTGTTTCGCATTTTCTTGAGTCCCGCACTCATTAGTTCTTCCATCCATTCGATTTTATCTTCATTTGACGGTCCTCCTTCTCCCACGTCTCTTAAGGCCTTTATATAGAACCCATACTTCGTGAATTTTCGGACTTTTTCCACCTTTGCAACTTTCGAACTCCTCTGTATTCAAAAATCCTCTCTGCAAAACCCTAGCTTTCTCCGCGGCGATTCCTCTTGTGTTCTCAAGTCTTCTTCAATTCACTCATCCACGGTTATGAGTAAGTCGTTCTTCACTTGGATTTGTGTTTCCTGTTTCTTGGCTTTGACTTTGCGTTTTTGAATTTTTTGAATTGGTTGGGTATCTCGAACTTTGTTGATTGGGTGTTCTGAATCTGCACTTTGGGCATTGTGATTTGTTTGTTGATCGTTGTGAATTTTGCTTTTCCTCCGCGGTTTTTTGAATTTCTTGTTCTTCCCCCTTTTCAATTTTTCAAAATCGCTTTTCCCAGAAAACCATAGCTTTGAAAACCTTCTCCTCTCCCCTTCTTCCTATCGTTGAAATTTCCCTTTCTGATATTGTTCTTTTTTATTTTTCAGATTTCTTCTGACTCGGTTCAAATATTGCCCTCTTCACTTGAAGCTGTTCCTCTCTCTATCCTTCGTCCCGGTGATACTGTTCCCACCATCGTTTTCAGAGCCCGCATTTCTCCTCTTAACTCCGGAGATACCATGGAATGTTTTCAGAGCCCGCATTTCTCCTCTTAACTCCGGAGATACCATGGATAACATTCCCCTCCGCTGCCGTCGACCTTCTTTTGGCTCATTAGATGAGCCAAAGGAGGACGAGGTCACCTCTTCTCAACCTACCTTCCCTACATCCTCGACCAGCCCTCCTTCTTCCTCTCAACCTGATACTTCAAATTCTCCTGTTGTCGACCTCGGGGTTGTGCGGTACGCCCAGAGCACTGAAGTGAGCTCGTCGACCCACGCCCCTGAGGCCTTTTCCAGCCTTGTTTTCAGCCCGTTCAGTATAATTCGGTTGGTCACGTCGACTTGGCCATTGGCTTACAGATGAGCAACAGAGGCAAAGTGTTACTCGATATTCATGTCCTCACACCATGCTCGAATCTGCTTGCCATTGAATTGAGTTCCATTGTCGGATATCACTACTTTAGGCACGCCAAACCTACAGCAAATATTGTTATATAAAAAAAATTGATGACTCTCTCCTCCGTGATCTTTGCCAAGGGCTCGTCCTCCACCCACTTTGTAAAATAGTCTACCGCCACGATCAGGAATTTCTTCTGCCCAGTTCCTTGTGGCATCGACCCCACTAGGTCAATTCCCCACTGGGTAAATGGTATAGGAGCACTCATCGTTGTCATCGCCTCTGCCGGCTAATGGATAAGCGGGCCATGCTTCTGGCATTGTAAACATTTCCTCACCATCGCCTTCGCATCCTCTTTCATTGTCGGCCAAAAGTATCCCGCTCTCAGAATTTTTGCGACCAAGGCCCCCGACTTGCTATGATCACTACAACATCCTTCGTGCACTTCTCTCAGCACGTATCGACCCTCTTCCTTAGTCACACAGCGTAAATGCGGTCCAGCGTATGACCGCTTGTTGAGAATGCCTCCGTGCTAAAAAAATCTTCTCACTACCTTTATCGCCCCCTCCTTCAACCCTTCCAAAATCGGGGCCCTCCAATCTTCCACTTCCTCAATCTCCACTACTTCCGCCTCGACCACACTTCTCTCTAAATGTAATAGAGTCACACTTCTGCTCTTACAGTCCACCAAACTTTGAGCAATTTTTTACAACAAGTCTGCTCGACCATTCTTCCCTCAAGGGATCGGTATCAACTCGAATGAGTCAAACTCCTCTTTCAACTTCTTCATCTCGTCCACATACTTCTGCATTCGATCCTCCTTAACTTCAAATCCTTCTTAAAACTGCCCAACCATCAATTGAGAATCAGAATACACTTGCACTTTTCGGTCTCCTCTCGCCCTGACCAACCTCAAACCTTTGATCACCGCCTCATACTCAGCTTTATTATTGGATATCTTGAACCCCACCTTGGCTGCGAACTCCAAGTAATTGCCCTTAGGAGAGACAAGGACAATTCCCAATCCGGCAGCACTTTTTTCCACAGATCCATCTACAGATAACTGCCATACTCCTCCAGACTCCTCCTCGACTTTAGTGCCTTCCTGAATAAAATCAGCCAACACCTGCACCTTTATAGCTCTCCTCGGCTCATACAATAACGAGTATTCACTCAACTCGACCGCCAATTTTACCAATCGACCAGAAACCGATGGTCGGCCAAGCGTTTCTCCCGACGGCATGTTCGTTCGCACCTTCACCTTATGATTCAAGAAATAAGGCCTCAGTTTTCGAGCAGTTACAACTACCGCAGAGCACACTTATCAATCTCCAAGTACCTCATCTCTTCTCCCTGCATCACCCTGCTCACGTAATAGATAGGGAACTGTGCGACCCCTTCCTCTCGCAGCAACACCGAACTCACAGCCCTCTCCTCGATAGAAATGTACAGCACCAAATCCTCACCTTGTACCGGTTTGGCCAACAGATGAAGGTTGGCTAACACTCCTCGTAACTCCTCGAATGCCCTTTGAGTCTCCTATGTCCATTGGAACTTCGCACTCTTCTTCAGTGTTTTAAATAATGAGCCACTCCTCTCCACCACCTTCGATATAAAACGACTCAGCCCCGCAATTCGACCAGTCAAGATTTGTACCTCCTTAATATTCGTCGGCGACTTCATCTCCATCACCGCCTGCACCTTCTCCGGATTCACCTCGATTCCCCTCTTGGTCACCAAGTAATCCAAGAATTTTTCTGACTTCACCCCAAACGAGCACTTGGCCGGATGCAACTTCATCTCATACCTCCTCAATGTTAAGAACGTCTCCCTCAGGTCTCGCACATGATCCATATCCTCCTTGATTTTAACCAGCATATCATCTACATACACTTCCATATTCCTCCCCAACTGCTCCTTAAAGATTTTATCGACCAACCTTTGATACGTGGCACCCGTGTTTTTTAGGCCGAACGGCATCACCACGTAACAGTAAGTTCCTCGGCTCGTCACGAAACTCACCCACTTTCTATCTTCTCTCACCAAGGGAGTTTGATGGTATCCCTGCGAAGCATCCATTAAGCTCAGCAACTCACATCCCGCAGTTGAGTCGACCAGTTGGTCAATCCTGGGCAGCGGGTATAGATCCTTTGGGCATGCTTTATTTAGGTCCCTAAAATCTATGCACATTCTCCATTTCCCTTCGGCTTTAGACACTATCACTGTATTTGAGAGCCATTCCGATAATTGAATCTCCTTGATATGTCCCGCCCCCAACAACTTCTCGACCTCATGCTCAATAATTTTATCCATCTCCGCTCTATGGTGCCTCATTTTTTGCTTCACCGGCCTCACACTGAGGTCGATATTCAGACGGTGTTCAATCACCTCCACACTTATTCATGTCAATTCCTTCGGCGTATAAGCGAAGATATCAGCAAACTTCCTGACCAGACTGATCAACTTCGACCGGATGGGCTCCTCCAAATCCTTCCCGATTCTAAACTTCCTCACCTCATATCCCTCAATCATCTGTATCTCCTCTACTTCTCTCCTAGCTGGATGTCTACCTTCTCATTGCCCTTCTCTAACTTCAACGTATCCTCCTTCGATCTCGACCCGCCTGGTCGACTAATCTCCTATTCCTTCGGTTTAGTCTGCCTTCTCGCCAATTATTTGTTATTGCTCACCGTTGTCTGATAGCAGCTTCTTGAGGTAAGTTGATCCCATGTGATCTCACCAACGTTTTCACCTGACTGGATTTTTTATCGTCATGTGGTACGTTGATATGACCGCCTGGAATGAATTCAAGCTCGTCCTCCCCATAATGATATTGTAAGATGACTCAGCTCCCACCACCACAAACCTTACCATCCGTACTTTCCTCGTCACTCCTGATCCCAGCGCTACTGCCAAACTCACCTCACCCATCGGCATGACTTCCCTCCATTAAAACCATAGAGAGCCCTGGCCAGCGGCTTCAACTCCATATTCAGCTCCTTGTTGATCTGTGAAAAATATTCATAAAACATCACATCTACCGAACACCGGGTAACAATAAACACCCTCTTCACATCAAAACCCGCAACCTCCGTGGTAATCACCAAAGCATCATTGTGTGGTAACACCACGCCCTCAGCATCCTCCGCCTTAAAACTTATCACCGACATATGAGCCGTGATTCCAACCTCTTCTCTCTTTTTTTTCACTGCTCGAGCATGCTCCTTCCTAGCATTGTTCGAGTCGTCATCCATTGGCCCTCCAGAAATCATATAAATCGTCCCTCTTTTTACAGGGGTTTCGCCCCTTAGCCCTCCTTTCTCTCCGTCCCTCCTCGACTTCTTCCCTCGACCATCTCTATCATCCCCCTTCTCATCTCTATCACTCCTCTCCTCTGAATCCTCCTGACATCTCCTTCTTCCCTTTCCTTTCACCCTGTCCTGATACACAAACTCCTTCAAATGCCCTGCTCGAATCAACCTCTCAATCTCATCTTTCAAATGCCTGCAAATTTCTGTGGTATGACCGTAGTCTCGATGAAAACGGCAATAGATATCTGACTTGGGTCGAATCGGGCCTGTAAACCTCGTCTTCGGCCACGTCACATCCTCGCTCGACATTTTCTGCTCCATCGCCTCGAGCACTTCTGTCAAATCTTTCCTCAAAGGTGTAAAATTATGGTACCTCTGTCTTTCAAACGACAGTGGCCTCCCTTGCCACCTATCATCCTTTTTCGCCAGTTTCAAGTCTCGACCTTCCCTCCTAGGCGATGTTCTTTTTGACCCACTCCTTTTGGGTGAACTTCTCCTCGGCAATCTGCTCCTTTGGGGGCTCTTCTCTTTCTTTGGCTCTGACCGAGCTGTCCCCTCCAATTTCGCAAACTCCACCTCTATCTCTTCCAGATTAATATACTTCCTGCATCGCTTCAAAACATCCTCATATAATCGAGCAGGGGTCTTTGCCAGGGAGGTTCGGCAAGGCCCTGCTCGAAGACTCCTTATCAATTCTCTTGTCTTCACCTCATCCAACGCCGAGTGCACCTCCAAACATGTCTGATTGTATCGAGCCACATACTTTCTCATCTATTCCATCTCTCTCTGCCTCGTCGCCATCAGGGTCAAATATGTCTTCTCATGTGCCACCGCGCTCGAATATTGATTGGTAAGTTTGCTGGCAAAATCCTCAAAGTCCGCGATCGATCCAGGGGGTAACTGATGAAACCAATCAAGTGATCCTCCGCGCAAGGTCGATAAGAATGCCCTGCAACATACAGAATCAGAATATCCATGTAACACAACCATATTTTCAAAGGTCCTCACATGCCTCGATGGGTCAGATGACCCGTCATACACCAAATTAGTCTCCTTGAAATTATTTGGCAAAGGGGCCGCGAAAATATCCCTCGAGAAAGGGTGTCCTCGAGTTCTCCTCTCCGGCCTCCCCTCAACCTTGTCCTGTAACTGGCGCAACTGCTCTGCCATCCTCTCTATCGCACGATCTCTTCCGCCTCCTCCATCTCCATAACTGGACACATCCTCGTCCTGACTTCCTGCCACCGTGGCCGGCGCGATTGTGGCGTGAGATGTGTGGCTTGTGACTTGTTGCACCGCCGCGGCCGCCGCTATCCTCTGCATCTCTTCCCTGGTCATCGTCACCACCTGTTGACCAGGAGATTGTACAACTGCCTACGATGGCGCTCCTCCTTGTGCCGCCGCTCCAGCTTGCACCACCGCTCCTCCTGGCTGCGCCATCACTGGGCTTTGGGGCGGCGGCGGTGGCATCGCCGCCGTAGCTGATGCGCGAGCTTCCTTGGCACGACTGGAGCTGGCATCTCCTCTAGGGATCGCCGTCGACGCTCCCACACCATGAACGACAGGTGTAGGAGTGATCGGCGTCTGCGAAGGGCCAGAAAAACCCGGAGGAGGGCCCTGCCCAATCGGTCTGGTCGTCGTCCAAGCGTCGTCGAACGTCGACTGCAAGTTTTTGGCAATTCCGTTCGCCATAGCTGAGCTTCAAACACAACTTCTCAAACGAAAGTCCCCACAGACGGCGCCAATAATGCAAGTGTAAGCGTCCTAGCCCTGTTTGGGGTAGATCGATTTTTTTCCTCGCCGGAAACCTGCAAAGAACTCTCACACCAGTGGTTGTGTCCGGTGAAGAGCCTCCGATACTTAAGTCAGTATGTGTATGAGTATACTGGAATTGAGTAATGGAAAAATCGTGTGTTAGGAAGAAAGGCTCACCCGCTTTATATTGGAGTGAAATACATGACCTAAGGCTGCCCGAATTTGATGAGATGGCTGCCCAAGCTGCCCGTCCGTACTCTGACACACCGCACACATGTCAGAGGTGGCGAGGGACGTTGGGGTTGTCAGAGGTGGTTGTCGCTATCAACCAATAAGTTCTCGACACGTGTCCTCCTGCACATGGGATGAATATTCTTCTGAAATTCCGTTAGAGGCTCTTTCACGCGCCTGTGACTAGGCAGATCTATGTTATGCTAAGTCCGTGATGTGGTCGACCAATTGAGGTCGACTAAACTGCTCCACCGTTCACTTGGTCGAATGATAGATTGGTCGACTGCTTAACTGGTCGATTGATTAACTGGTCGATTTTCCCGCCATTCAACTTGGTTTCTCCATGGTATGACCTCTTCGACCGGTTCAGCAAACTAGTTTAGCCTTGTGGGTATAATATCCTATATCAATGCCTTTTTATAATTTGTATAATTTTATTTTTTATTTTTTATTTTTTCCTGATTTTACATTAATTGTTTTAATTTCGTAATTATGTTGTATTTAAATTGTCTTATTTAATGAGATGTTATGTACCTTGTATAGGGCCAAAGTGTTTATTTTTTTATTTTGTAATATAAATTAATTTATATTATAAATTTCACAATTATTAATGTTTTCTCTTTTTCTATGTTTAATGTTTTCTCTTTTTTCTATGTTGCAGGCATGATTTTATAATAAATGAGCTGGAATGTTAAATTTTTATTGTTGTGTTTACTGGATTTTAATTTGATATGTAATTTATTTTTTGTGTACTGACTAATTATAAGTTTTAGGAATTTGTAATTTTTTTTGGACAAAAAATATGTTTAAATGCAAATCATCTCACAAATTAAAAACGAAACAACACTCTAAAAAAATTGCACATATACAACATCTAAAGACTTTTAAAACTCATTGGTGTTAGTAATTATAAAAGCTAATTAAAACATGATAAATAATTTATTTGTAATCGATTTTAGGGGAGGAAAATGTGAATAGGGCCACCTAGATATAATTTAATAAGTTTTATTTATTAAGTAAAATTAATTAGTTAGCTAGCGATTATATATAGATAATATATTTCAAAAGATGAAATTCACGTGACTAGCCAGACTCACAAAATAACTAAAAACAAGAGATAAGATATGTTTAAATTGTTACATTATCAAATACAATAATAAAATTTTGGTCTTAATTCTTCCTTCGTGATTTCGAAGCTTCGATAAAGAAAATGAAAGTATTTTAATTAATAGTAGAAAAAAGAAGAGGAAATAAAAGAAAAGGAAACAAAGGGAGAGAAAGAGAGGATATTGGTTTGGGTCCATGGATTTAGGCATGGCGTTGTTGATGGGGCGAAGACGATGCCACGATGCTTTATTCACTCACATGTTACATCTCTCTTTTTTACCCCTCTTTTGATACAAGTGTACTTTTTTTTTTCAAACTAGTTCAATTGACTCACTATGCAAGTATTGTAATATAAATAAATATAAAGTAAATAAAATATGTACTATTATTATTATAATAATAATAATAATAATTATTATTATTATTATTATTATTATTATTATTATTATTATTATTAGTATTATTACATTTGATGTGTAATCGCACCTCGGCCTTCCGTTGTCCGTTGACTGATATTGATACGGAAGTGGTCAGAGGAAGAGAACGATGGTCTCGATATTTGGTTGGAGAACATGTTGGAGGAGCCATCTAGTCCAATTTACCGGCCATCATGCGAAAGAGATTGGCCGAGAGGGTGTGGTCCGCAATCCAAGCTTAAGCCTAAAATGCGCAAGACCAAACGAGCCCGAAGGAAACGCAAGGCAAAG